GCAGAAGAATTACAGGCAACTGAAGGAAAGTTTGTATATACATTTACATCTATTTCAGTAGGGACAGAAGACTTCCTTTCCCTTGATTGAAGGGGACAAGTGCAGTTCACAGAGAGTCTGGATTCTGTGTATCATAGATGGAGGTGCAAGCCTGAGACTTCGCTTCCTCCATCAGCTGGTTATGAAGCACTGCCTGCGAAGTCACTAGCGCAGGCGATGAGAGGAAGGGTCGCTGCATAAGTGGCCCAGTGTGTGCTTTGCTTTCTTCTTTAAGGAAACCACAAGTGCATTGGGGACCTGGTAACACCCAGAACACTGCAGTTGGATGATGGAGTGTGGCCGTGCACATCTTCCTTTGTGTCTTGATCAGTCAGATGGTGCCCCATCCATATAGGAGCTCAGGCTGCATGTTGCCATGGTAGCCCACAGCTGAATGGTCAGGTTCCACTGAGACCCAATAGAAAGTCATGATGGTTAATCTTGATCATCAACTTTCAGGAGCTAGGATCACCTGGGAAACAAGTCTTTAGAGGATATCTGTGGAGAAATTTCTGGATTAGATTAAGGGAAGAGGGTAGACCCACTTGAAATGTGGGCAGAACCAATGTATGAAATGGGATCCCAGATTGCATAAAAAAAAAAAGCCAGCCGAGCACGAGCATTCGTTGCTCTCTGATATGCAAATGATGCGAGCAGCCGCCTCCTATCAGCTTATCTTCCCCACGTGATGGAGTTGGATTGTAGGTGGATCTTTTTGTCCCAACAGTCAGCTCTCAGATTACCACATGGAATCTTCTCATTTATTAGGATAGCTTGGCTGATAGAATATGCTTGTTTCTAACTAATTCTTATAACTTAAATTAACCCACATCTTTTAATCTATATTCTTTTACATTATTCGATGATACTTTGCTGCCTGTTCTTTGTCCCTGGTGTCTCCTCATGACCCTGCCCTTCTTCCTCCCAGCATCCTGGAAATCTTGCCTAGCTATGGCCATTCAGGTCTTTAATAAACCAAAATGAGTGACACATCTTCACAGTGTTCAAAAGATTATTTCATAACATTTCCCCCTTTAGGTCTAAAAAAAAAAAAGGAAAGGCTTTAACTCTAACATAATAAGAACAACTATCAGGTAAGAGTTCCATTTATAATGTTTAGTCCATTTGTATTTGGCATATTTGGGAAAATACTCCACTATTTATCCTATATTGATGAATTTAAAGCTTTGTACCTAATTCACCTTCTATCATAACTAAGGAAATCTACAGCTATAACTACCTAGTCTAACCCCATCAAAGGGTTATACCAGAAGACTGTAATATTACTTGAGCAAACAGGAAGCACAGTGCGAGCCACTTCCAAAACTAAGAAATGAAAGAGACATCTAGCTGCTTGGGGAGTCACCCCAAGATTCTTCCGTATTCCCAAGAGATAAACACACTACATTACAGGCAGTGGAGATCTCCCCAAACCCACTCACACTGTGCTAGATACCAGAGAAAAAGAATTTCAGCAAACATGTAAAGACACAGCAGAAGCAAAAGACCTTCCAGGGCCTGCAGCTTGTGTCTTTGCCAAAATGAGGTTGGTGCATCAGAGTTTCCCTCTGGTGGGCTGACACCTAGAGCTTTAGTTGCCACTCTTTGCTCCCCTGGCACTGCCAATGGCCAAAACCAAAACAACCACGAAACTAAGTAGGGCAAAAAGATACTTTTAAAACGTCTAGTGTGGGCTGGGCAGCACCGGCACACACCTTTAATCCCAGCACTTGGGAGGATCTACAAAGCGAGATCCAGGACAGCCAGCGTGGTCCATACAGCAAGTTCCAGGACAGCCAAGACTGTTAAACAGAGAAATCCTATCTCAAAACACCAAAAAAGAAAAAAAAAAAAGTTGTATACCTCTAATTCTAGGCCACCCTGGGCTATATTGTGAAGCCTGTCTCAAAAACAAAAAAGTTTTAAAAGCCTGCTACCATATATGGTGTTACATATGTTAAAGGCACTGACCAAATGATATGCAAAGAGGCCATGGAGAAGTAAAGTGGCCAGAAAAAACAAAGCTTCTGTTGGGAGTTGTGCAACCTAGTTTCGGACCAGTATGTGAGTGCTCTCTGCCGGGTCTCCAGATAGGGCTCACAGGAATAGTCTCACTCCTTGGCAAGGACCAGTAGACTTTGGGGCCAGCATGGCTTGTACACTCTCTTCTCTCTTATAATGAGTGATGATTCTCTTGGTGGTTTCAGTATCATTTTGTCAATCATGCATTGATCAGATGTGATCCTTCCTGAAAACCCCATTTTTCCTCGAATATCTTCCCCTAAAATTCTTTGGGAGCTGAAGCTTCTCAGGTTTCTTCTCTGGGGTGCCAGCTGTCACTGCAGACCCTGGGAGCTGTTGTGATTCCATGCCCATGGGATCGGAGGCAGATCACCCCTATTTCCGTAAATGTGTTTTGAACGTGATTGTTGCTCTTGAAAATGTGTGTCTATGTCAATCGCCTTTTAGTTTTATAAAGACAGTACACATCTGGCTCAATATGTGGCCAAGCTAGCAAGATGATAAGTGTTGTTTTTGGTTTAAAGATGTTTTGATGTAAAGGTTGGGAGAAGCCGGGCACGCCTTTAATCCCAGCACTCGGGGAGGCAGAGGCAGGCGGATCTCTGTGAGTTCGAGACCAGCCTGGTCTACAGAGCTAGTTCCAGGACAGGCTCCAAAGCCACAGAGAAACTCTGTCTCGAAAAACTAAAAAAAAAAAAAAAA